GTCGGGGCTTGATCTTGAATTGGTGGAAGTTCTTCAAGGGTCTTTGGGGCTTGATCTTGAATTGGTGGATTGTTGATCCAAGGGTCGTCGGGGCTTGATCTTGGAAGAACGATGAACGAAGAACGAAGAACACTTTCTTCGAGGGCCGTCGGGGCTTGATCTTGAAGAATAATGATGAACGGATCTTCAAGGGCTTTTGGGCTTGATCTTGAAGATGGATGGTTGTTGATCCAAGGGTCGTCAGGGCTTGATCTTGGGATGAACAGTTTTGTGGATTTATTGATGTTGTTGATCCAAAGGGCCGTTGGGGCTTGATCTTAGGATGAACAGTTGTGTGGATTTGTTTGATGTTGTTGATCCAAAGGGCCATTGGGGCTTGATCTTAGGATGAACAGTTATGTGGATTTGGTGATGTTGTTGATCCAAAAGGGCCGCCGGGGCTTGATCTTAGGATGAACAGTTGTGTGGATTTGTTGATGTTGTTGATCCAAAGGGTCGTTGGGGCTTGATCTTAGGATGAACAGTTATGTGGATTTGGTGATGTTGTTGATCCAAAAGGGCCGTCGGGGCTTGATCTTAGGATGAATAGTTATGTGGATTTGGTGATGTTGTTGATCCAAAAGGGCCGTCGGGGGCTTGATCTTAGGATGAACAGTTGTGTGGATTTGTTGAACACTTTCTTCAAGGGCCGTCGAGGCTTGATCTTGAATTGGTGGAAGTTCTTCAAGGGCCGTTGGGGCTTGATCTTAAAGGAGGAATTTCTTCAAGGGCCGTTAGGGCTTGATCTTGAAGGAGTATTTGACGAAGAACGAATAGGGCTTTCTTGATCCTTCGGGATTTGCTTGAATTTGGGAGGTTGGATGCTTGAAAGCTTTAGAGTTTCAAAGCTTCAAGGATTTTGGATGTGTGGGGAGTATTCTCTTCCATTTTGGGAGTAGAGAAATGTATTTGTGAATTGGTTTCATGATACCTTGATGTAGAAGCCTATTTATAGGCTTTGAGAATGAATCACCACCACAAAATATTTTTTTCTTTTCCAAGCACCATTGCCTAATTTCCCACTTAATACAATTTTAAACTTGAAGTGGTAATTTTATGGCCTAATTTTCCACTTAATATCATTTTAAACTTGATATGTGCATGCTTTGTCATTGCCCAAAATGAGAAGAAAACCTTGTTTTGATCTTCAATGGATTGAAATGTGCTTGCCTTGTCATTGCCCAAAATGAGAAGAAAAACTTGTGTAATCCTCCAAGGGTATTTCTTCTTATTTTGTTGAGTCACACACCATGTGTACAATTTGTATGACACGTGGCATATGCCATGTATGCCCTGACACGTCAAAATTTTAATGCATTGGTGAACATTTATTTCACCGCAATTTCGATGTCTACACTGTTATTGAAGGGTCATGCAAGGAAAGTGGTGCATAATCTTAGAAAGCATGATAACCAAGAATCACAATTGTGAGCAGAAGCACATACTCCATGCAGATTTGAGAGTGTGTACAAAAGCAATGTGGTTGGAAATTTACATGTAGTTTGTGTTCTCAATCCAAAACAAACCAAAAAAGTCATATAATCTTCACATACGTAGACAGAATTCTACGGAATTGTGATTCATGAACCTCAATCTTCAGACATAGTTGCCTTGGTTAGAGTAGATTGGAGTGATTGCTTTACTCAATCACATATAGGAACTAGCTTGTGGCTGGATGGGTTATAGTCTTATAGAATACCCTAATATTCTCTTTCTAGTTTTATTGTTTATTTTTCATTTTACTATCATAATGTAATTCGATTTTCAACTCTTTGTGGCAAAGTTTGTTTTCTCTCAATCTGTTAGTTTATCCGTTAAGTCCTCATTAAGAGTGCATGTGACTAATAATCCTCAATCTTAGCCAGTCTCTTCTAACTCAAACCTAATAAAGAAATTTAAATTTTACTCTAATATATTTTCATGTGAATATCTTACTCATTATGTAAGCTAATTACAATAAATATAAATATCATCTAAGCATGACAAGAATTGGCTAGTGCGTTGAAACTTGAAAGAAAAAAAAGTTGGTGGGTCAATTGAGAATTGAGATTACGTCAATGACTCAATAATGATTCAATAGTCAATAGTAGATAATTATATAAACTGAAATTCCACCGATTTGAATATATAAAGACGCGAAGTTCAAATATTGTACGCAACAACAACCCTACTTTTGTAAATTAGTTTGTGAATATCCAATTCTTAAGCATAATAATATTGCCTAACCATGTAGATCTAGCGTTGCTTTTGTGTCAAGCAGGAGTCTCTAAGTTTGACCACATCTTTAAAAAAGTAAGAAAGGCAATCAATACTAATTAGGACAAACCCCACTAACTTTGTTTTTCCTCATTCTTTCTACTTTTATTTCCCAACATTTGTATTCCAAAGTGAGTTTGGATCCAATTCGGATGCCCATCGTGAAGATTATAGGGGTTCTCACATTCTATCCATTCATCGTACATCATGTGATCAAAATAATTTTTTGATTTTTTTATTTAAAATTAAACATAAACAATGTCTAACTAAAGCTGATCGCACAATGTTACGATGAACGGATAGGATATAAGGATCCCTAAGTTCCTCACAAAGAGGAAGTGGAAAGAATCCTTATCCTCCAAAGGTAACCAACAACAACAACAACAACAACAACAAAGCCTTTTCCCACTAAGTGGGGTCGGCTATATGAATCCTAGAATGTCATTGCGCTCGGTTATGTGCCATGTCTTCCGTAAAGTCCAAGTACTCTAAGTCATTTCTTAGAGTCTCTTCCAAAGTCTCACGTGACACTAAATGAGTTTCATGTAAGTTGATCTAAAAAAGACCATATATAATTAGGGTTGGAAATTTTTTCCGAAAATCCCAAACCAAACCAAAAAAATCATGATCCCATACTGAAAAATTCCAAAACCAATATACCAAAATTTTCAGAATCCATACTGAACCGATCCTGTACATGTCGGTACAGGAATCGAGAATACATATTCAATGGTTCATAAATCCCGAACCGAACCAATATATATATATATACACACACACACACATATACATATACATACATATATGCATATATATATATATATATATATATATATATGTATGTATGTATTTATTTTGGTTGCATGCATGTTGAATGTTGAATTTAAGTAGTTTGATAGTGACCATATTAGAGATAGAAATATGAAATTAAGTAGTTTGGAACTTTGGAATGACAACTTGGCTTGGTATGAATGAATTAGTATTTCAATTGGTATGAGGTAAAAAACTTAAATTTTAATTGATATAAAATTGGGTAACAAAATTTCAGACCAAAAGTCCAAATTTTAACCCATAGCAAAAAAATCTCAAATTTCAACCAAAAAGTTCAAAACCCATAATCCAGTACTAATCCATCTCGAAATACTAAAAATTAGGAATACCGAAATTTCAATCGGAGATTGTCTTTAAATTCTCGTCTGAAATTTTTCGATTTAGGATTTTGGATCCCATTTTCAATTTGAAATCTCATACCAAACCAGCCATACATGTAATGCAATAATTTCACACGAAACCTAATGAGAGGTACTGATCCTTATTTTGGTAGACGACCTTAGACTTTTCCAGGCAGCAGAAGTCAGATTTTTTATTGAGTAGGAAATGTGATGCACATTTTGATGACACGCCCAAAAATGGTAGGCTTTGAGTCTAAGCAGCGTGTGTAGTGTACCACATAAGCATGACAAGATCGAGAAAAAACTTGTGTTACTTGGTAGTGTGCCTTAGTGAGCCACTGCTATTTTTTCCGCAGATTAAATTGACGAAGTTAAGATTTATTCGGAGTCTCGGAGACATCTTGTAAAATTGACGGAACTAAAGAGCTTAAAAGAGCTATAAAACCAATGAGCTAAAAAGCAAAACTAAAACAGGCTAAAGACGCACAAACACAATGAACAAAATTAAGCACAAGTCTAAACCAAGCTCCTAAAATGCAAAATAACTAAACTCTTAAAGCAACTAGAACCCTAAATCTGACTATTGTTATCACCTTAAGCAGCGGTACAATCAAACTCATCGTATTTAGCCTCGACCTCCAACGATCCCACTGCCCCAATCAACAATCCCCATTCTCCCCTCTCAAGGAGAAATTTTTAGTTGTGACGGGAACACAAGTAGTACACCACGTGTTTTAATAAGAGTGGTGTGAAATTTTATTTTTTAAGTTAATAACATTTTAGCACACATATCCTACCATTTGTATAATGACACGTGGTATACCACCCTGTGTACTAATCACACTGAAAAATCTCTCCCTCTCAAGGTCACAATTTGTTTAACACTCAGTATGAAGAGTGAAGGAGGATTAAAAAAGTGTGACATTACCAACAAGATTGCAAATCACATTGTCCTTTGTTTTCCTTGTAATACTAATTAATTGTACATACCATTATTGTTTGTTGTCGTCCTTTTTCAATCAATAGATCAAATTTTTACTAAAGATTTTAGAATCCATGGTGGTGCAGTGCAGGTGAACCATATGGAGTGACAGACAGAAGGGCAGGCAGTCCTCACCTCTGAATTTTGCATGCAGGCTCGTTGATATTTGACAAAATGCTCACAAACCTCTCTAATTTTTATGGAAAAATCTAGAGTACGTCTCCATTTTTAACAAATTAAACGGTGACAAATCGAGGAAATTAGGGAATAGATCAAGAAGCCCTTCTCCTCCCTCACAAATTCACAATCTCACCGTCATCGACCATCCCTCGACCGGATCGACTATCAATCGCTGCCATAGAGAGAATCAGCGCTGGTTCCCCAGAAACAGAAACTCTCTAAATGACCAAAATACCCCTGGCGTATTGTCCCTGTCTTACGTGCAGGTTGCCACCGCCGGCCCCTACCTCCTCCCCACAGCCCATTGGCCCACCCACCTCCCCAGTCCCTCCCTCGTGTCAAACACTTAATTTTCACCACCAATAGCCATCTCCAACTTAGTGCCCTCCCCCACTCTCTCTCTCTCCCCTCATCTCCTTCTCTCTCTAAACACGCACACACGGAATTGCAACACAGTTCCTCAGCTCCCTCTCTCTATTTTTTTAACACCAATCTCTCTCTCTCTCTCTCTCTCTCTCTCTCTCTCTCTCTCTGTTTTCTCCAAAATCCCAAACCTTCAAATTTACCAAAAGCAACCAAAGTCTCCCACAACTTGACGCTTTTGCCCAGATGGGTTCTGCTCCTACTCCTGCTAGAACTGCTTCTACTTCTGCTATGTTATTGATAACTCTGCTAAACGTCGCTGTTTTCCGACCCACCACATCAGATCCGAGCGACGAGGCGTGCCTAACCCACCTGAGTGAATCCCTCCAAGACCCAACAAAATCCCTCAAGAATTGGACCAAATCCACCTTCGCCAACCCCTGCAGCGGCTTCACCTCTTACCTCCAGGGCGCCACCTGCAACAATGGCCGCATCTACAAGCTCTCTCTCACCAACCTCTCCCTCCGCGGCTCCATCTCCCCCTTCCTCGCCAACTGCACCAACCTCCAGGCCCTCGACCTCTCTTCCAACTTCCTCACCGGCCCCATCCCCTCTGACCTCCAGTACCTCGTCAACCTCGCCGTCCTCAACCTCTCCTCCAACCAATTATCCGGTCCGATTCCGCCGCAGCTCACATTGTGCGCCTACCTCAACGTCATTGACCTCCACGACAACTCCCTCACCGGCCCCATTCCCCAGCAATTGGGCCTTCTCGTCCGCCTCTCCGCCTTCGACGTCTCCAACAACAAACTCGCGGGTCCGATTCCGGTCTCGCTGGGCAATCGGAGCGGGAACCTGCCGAGATTCAATGCGACATCGTTTGAGGGAAACAAGGAGCTTTATGGGTACCCTTTGCCACCGCTGAAAAGCAAGGGGCTTTCGGTTCTGGCGATCGTCGGCATCGGATTGGGAAGTGGGTTCGCGAGCTTGGTGCTTAGTTTTACCGGCGTCTGCATTTGGTTGAAAATTACAGAGCGGAAGATGGCGCTGGAAGAAGGGAAGATCAGCCACCTCATGCCTGATTACTGAGATGGGAGGAGGAAGAAAAAGATGCTAATTTGGTAATTTTAATCATCCCCAATTGAAAAGCTTGAGCCAAAAATTTCAGGTATTTTTGGTTGTCTTTTACTGATGAGGGAATTTTTTGGTTTCTTTTTATTTTATTTTATATTTTTTGAGTTTTATTTGGTTTTTCTGAGTTTATTTTTACTTTTATTTTTTGTGCTTTCGATTCTCCATATAACTTCCTCACCAATCCAACAATGTACAAAAACCGAGTTCAAAACACAATGTTTTAGTCACAAAGTGCAATGCATGTAACTTTAGATATGTGGACACATTACTATAATGATATTTCAAATTAATTACGCACCGCAACACTGTCACGAGCCGCTTCATGCAGTTTTAATGTTTGGCTATTGTGAGCTGGTAGGAGACTCTCTCTGCCTTGCCCAACATTCTGCTCCTCTATTTTTACTTGGAGTTTGATATTAGTATATTACTGTACTAGTTTACAAAAGCATAAATATTTCAAAGTTTTTAATTAAATAAATAAAAAGCTGACATATTGCACTGAATTTTAACAATAATTGACTGTGCCAATTGCCAAAGCTTCACATTACATTGATGATTACTTAAGGTTCTAAAAGACGCTAGATTCTAGTCGGATGGCGGATTGCTCTAGTCGGATTGGGGCCTAGCGCCTAGACGGCTAGACGGGGTCTAGGCGGGCGCATAGGCGGATGGGGCAAATTTAATTAAATCTATAATGTGTGTTCTTTTTTAATTATTCAACAAGTCTTTGACAATTTACTGAAGAAAAAAAAAATTCAAAATGAAAGTTATCTATTTTCTGTCTAAGTGAGATGCAACCTAAGCGGGTGCCTAGGCGGTCTAGGTGGGCATCTTTTCTTAATTTTCAAACGCTTAGATATTAATCGGGACGGTGGCCAACCGCCTAGCAGTTAAGTGGGGCCTAGGCGGGGCAGCATGTTTGTATTATGTTGTAGGCTCCAACCTTATTTGTCCCCACCCAAATAATTCGAGATTTTTTTACTCTGTAAATTACAATTTGACACATCAGTAAAATATGTTAAGAATGTGATTTGCTGACAAGGAGGAATTGTTGGTGTCAATTTTTTTTGTTTTTGTTTTTTGTGAGCGAGGACTTTTGTTAAACTATGTAATTAGAAATTTTGAGACAAAGGAGAAGTAAAATTAAAGTATTTTCTAGTTCGTTTGTAATGTGTGTATTGGCGAATTCTGACATGCATGAGTGGATGACTAACTGACCTAAACAAAATCCGAGAACAAAAGCCATATTCCAACACTATGGGTAATGAAAAACATATAAAACTTGTTTAGTTAAATCCTCAACTCAACCAAACTGGACAAAGATCCTATGGAGAGACACGCGTGATGGAATTTTGTGACCAAAAGGGATCATGAAAGGGTATGTCAAATTCTTGAGCTTTCAAACGCTAGCCCCGCCAGACTTGTGTGTGTCTAATTAAAGAATAACTGATCTGATATGGTCCGATCCAACCGCTGTGGAGATTCTAAATATTTTGTTGTTCAACTTACACCGAAAGTAAAAGATGGTCAAATGAGGTTTCATTCCTCTCATTGAATGGGGTCCTCCTCCTAGAATGGCATGCATTACATCATGATTGAGTGTGTGATTCTTTCAACTTGTGCATTTTCCATTTACTTTTGTCACTTGGGATTATGGCTGGCTATCTATTTTGTCACTTAAACGGGATGTCAAATCATCTACTCTTTACCTTGCACTCCACTCCTAATTATGTTCCTGTTTCGGCCTGAAATTCAGGAGTTCGGCTGAGAAGATGTGAGCCCAGAGATAAGGTTGTGGGTCTCAGCCTGGTGATATGTCCAGCCGAGGAAGTAAAGTACTCGGCCGAGTGTTGAGACGCTAGTAATTCGCCCTGGTCCTAGTGAAGTTAAGAGAGCTAAAGAATCAAATTTAGATATTGATTCGGTCCGAGTCCTGATTGAGTTAGGACTATTGAAGGACTAGGTTGGAATTTGATAAGATTCGAATTATTAAATATCAAGTCACTCAGTATTACGATCTGATGATATTCCTTTTAACTTAAAAATAAGAGGCCTTATGTTCGAATCTCGTGGATGACGAATTCAACACCAAATTAGACTGCTCATTGCGTGGCTTAACCGAATTCCCTCATCCCCTAATATAAAAATATCGATGTACTCCAAAAAAAAAAAATGATCAAAACATGTGGCTGGTCGTATAAGGATTAAATTGAAGTATAATAGGTTCATTGTTGTCAAATGTAAATAATCATATAATCATAGTCGTCACATTGAAAAACAAAAACTGTGGTGCATAATTTATTAAAATCAAACAGAATAAAGTATGGGTACAAATATTACTGATTCAAATTATGGGTAAGTCTCCCGTACGAAATTTAAATGAGAACAACTATCTACAATGTAGATAATTAACTGTGTTTTCAATGAGAAATTTAAGTAGTTTTACAGTTACGAAATTGCTGGTTTGTTTAAAAAGGTACGGACAATAATAGTAGTGTTAATATGTTGATGTAGTTTTCAGTTAAAAAACATTAGTGGTTAGGGACTGTATCCAAAGACTTTTTTTTTTTTGACACTTTGGATGTGGTCGCTAACTACCAATGTTCTTTGACGGAAACCTTGGTGGTTTTTAGTTTTTAATCGAAATTCCTGACATTAATATAATAATGTATTTCCATGTAGCTTATTATATTTTTAAATTAAAAATAAAATTTATATTTATTTATATTAATGAGATTTCAAATAAAACCCATAATTTATGGGATTAAAAATATTAAAGATGAATTCTACTCTCCAATATATTGTGTGCGTATATATACACATGGATACGTTCATCAAAACTAACCAAAAAATTATTTTACCAAAGCATGAGTACATTTTTCAAAAGCACAAAAAAGAGAGGGAACATATTAGGCTTAATAATATTATTAAATTTCTTCTCTTAAACTTGACATGGATAGATTCTCAAATCAACGAAATAGAATGTACCCATATAAGCTTAAAAAATGAATTAGAGAAAAATTGAATGAAATTTTATATAAAAAATGGGTACATTTTCAATTAAAAAAGGGTACATTTTTAACAAAATTAGTATATTTAAGAATGGATACATATAAGATTAAAAAATTGATTTTTTTTATAAAAATTTAATGGGTACAAACTTATTCTAATTTTATTTTTTATATTTGGCAAATGTTTGAATTGAAAATTAATTAGGAGTTTAATAAAGGTGTGAGTATTAAAACTCTAAATCAATTACTAATTTTTTTTTATAAAAATTATGTAACTTACATGTAATCCGTTAATATATTAATGCTAGGGACTTTTGATCAAAATTTAAAAACTGATAAGATCTTATTCAATGAACATTAGAAACTAGGGACTGAAAACTAATTTTTCCTTTTTTTCATCCTACAATATGAATAATCACAATTGTCTATCTTGTAAACTATATTTTAAAGATTACGAAAAAAAGCAACTAAAAGAAAACTATAACAGACCAACCAAATGTTTTGAATCAAAACTTGATTGTTGCATTATTAATAAATCACTATTGGTTATTCACTATCTTTTCAAGACTTCTAATCCTTGGTTTCTTAAGGTGAACTGAAAAAATTGTCTATAATGACTTCATCAAATGCGATTTATTTGTACACATATTTATTAAGAAGGAAACCATGCTATAGATCTTTTAGCTTCATTTAGGGCATATATTTTTAGATAATATATACTATTTAATAATTGGCACTTATTCATAAAATATATAATAAACTTATTTAAATTCGTCTAACCGCCTAGATCGTCACCTAAGCAATAAGCCATGTCCGCTGTCCAACTAGCGCTTAGCGTTATTTAGAACTTTGTTCATTATACAGTTATGTAATGGAACGATATAGCAAGAAACAATGCTTAAATCCTCCTTCAAATAATACTGTTAGTTTAAATCCTCCTTCGAATCTTTCGGGTAGTTCAAGTCCTCTGTTGAATATTTCGGTTAGTTCAAATCCTTCTTTGAATATTCTAGGTAGTTCAATTAGTCTTTTGCAAACCTTGGGCTTAGACCTCAAATGGGTGTCCTAATTTTATTGGAACCTTGTACCCTTTTAAATTTTGTCCCTCCTGTAGACAATTGATGGCTTTGCCACTGTCTATGGGTCTAGACTTTGTAGCCTCTACCCATGCTCGTGACATTTTGTTTTGTCCTTATTATTGTTTTTGTTGATTGTTTTGTCTTTGCATTGCTTGGCATAGTCACTGCTTGTATCTTTTTTGTTTACTTTCATATTATCAATAAAATTAGTGGAGGGATAGGTGGGAGGATTTTGGGTCTAATGGTCTTCGCCCCTTTAGGGGAGGGTAGGTGCCTCACATGTGATAATTGCCGAATAATTAATTATCTATCATACATTGGAAGGGAAAAAGTTAATTATAGATCATACAATACTGCAAATTTACAAAAAAAAAAGAAAAAGATTTTCACCATTTTTTTATAGGGTTGGCTACAATAGTACATACCATTCATAGTTTTATGAAAAATCTAACCGTTGATTTTTTGTACTACTCAATACTACGTACCATGTATTATGGAAGAAAAATTGTTCTTTCTTAGCCCAAATGGAATGTGGAGCTTCAACATATTTAATTGTAAGCAAATTGTAGCCACTTAGTAATACGGTCTAGTGATATTCCTCTTTACTAGTAAGTGAGAGATCTTAGGTTCAAATTCTCGCCAAAATTGAATTTGAACCACATTAGTGATATCCCATTGTGAGGCTAAGCCCATCTTCCTTCCTTTAATGTAGATAATATCGTTTGTTTTAAAAAAAAAAATTGTAAGAAAATTGTATGGTGAGCAAATTATAGTGTTTGATTATCTTTAGGAATATTTTTGGGTGAGTAGTACAAGTTAATCTTGGAATGGGTGTGAAGAGAAGCTCTCTCTATAAAATGGGCCGACCCCATGAAAGTTCTGAAAGCTTGAGTTTGGGCCGAACCCATGAAATTTCTGAAAGCTTGAGTTTGCGGTGACAAGTTACTTTACATCCTGTCCCTCTTGAAGTTGGAGCTGGTTCAGAAAAAAGTTCTGATATTCACTAAATACAATTGACATGGGATTCAGATTAATAATATTTCTGGAAAAGGTGTTTAGATTTCTTTCAGATGCATCCACATAAAGTTTTGCTTTCTAATAAACACAATCTTTCGGAGGGAGGGAGGGGTCGTTATATGTCGTTATATGTCTAATTGCCTTTATACTGCAGAGTCATAAATTATTATCTATCTGCTCTTTTTTAATTTATTAT